AGGCGCACCCCGCCAGGCACCCCCGGCAACGGCAAACCCCGATCCCCACAACCGCCAAACCCCGCAGCACCGCTGCCCCGCAGGGTACCCCCGCCACCGCACCACCGGCTTCTCAACCCCGCCGCCAGCACATCCCCGCCCCCGCGCTGCGGCAACCCCGCTCCCGCCAAGGGAGGTCCGCACCCCCGGGGGGGACCCCGTGTCGGGGCATTTTTTGCAAGACACAAAAAATGTCAGGGGCTGCACGCCGGTGGTGCGCACCCCTCTCTGTTGTTTTTTTTTTGATTGTTTTTTTTTTTTTTCCATACTGGGGCCGGGGTCCTAGGTGCCGACCCCCGGAGCCCCGGAACCCCGGCGGGGTCCCGGGGCCGGGGGTCGACAACCCTGGCTCACACACACAAGGGGGGAAGTTGCGATTCACATGGGAAAGGAAGAATGGACAAAACAAACACTCTATACTACTCAAACAATAGATTCCATCAAGATAGAAGTTGGGATTCACACCCAAGTGAAGAAACAAGAGAAACAAGGAGAGAGGGTGAGAAAAACACACATATGAGCTCACATACACAAGGAGGAAAGTCGCGATTCACATGGGAGTGGAAGAATGGACAAAACAAGCACTCTATACTACTCAAACACTAGATTGCATCAAGATACAAGTTGCGATTCACACCCAAGTGAAAAACAAGTGAAACAAGGAGAGAGGGAGGGAAAAACACACATATGAGCTAACATACATAAGGAGGAAAGTTGCGATTCACATGGAAGTGGAAGAATGGACAAAACAAGCATTCTACACTACTCAAACACTAGATTACATCAAGGTAGAAGTTGCGATTCACACCCAAGTGAAGGCACAAGTGAAACATAGAGAATGAGAGAGAAAAACACACATATGAGCTCACATACACAAGGAGGAAAGTTGCGATTCATATGGGAGTGGAAGAATGGACAAAACAAGCACTCTACACCACTCAAATACTAGATTACATCAAGATAGAAGTTGCGATTCACACCCAAGTGGAGAAACAAGTGAAACAAGGAGAGAGGGAGAGAAAAACACACATATGAGCTCACATACACAAGGAGGAAAGTTGTGATTTACATAGTAGTTGAAAAATAGACAATACATAAGCACAACAACACAAAAGCACTAGATTGAACCAAGATTGAATTTGCGATTTACCCCATAGTGAAGATTGAGGGAGAGAGAGGAGAGAACGTGACTAAAACTCACTTTTGGACTCACACACACACAAGGGAAAGTTGCGATTTACATATGAGTGAAAAAATAGACAATACATGAGCACAACAACACAAAAACACTAAATTGAACCAAGCTTGAACTTGCGATTTATCCCATAGTGAAGATTGAGGGAGAGAGAGGAGAGAAAGTGACTAAAACTCACTTTTGGACTCACACACACAAGGGAAAGTTGTGATTTACATACGAGTGGAAAAATAGCAAATACATGAGTACAACAACATAAAAACATTAGATTGAACCAAGATTGAACTTGCGGCGTACCCCATAGTGAAGATTCAGGGAGAGACAGGAGAAAAAATGAGTAAAACACACTTTTGGACTCACACACACACAAGGGAAAGTTGCGATTTACAGAGGAGTTGAAAAATAGACAATACATCAGTACAACAATACAAAAACACTAGATTGAACCAAAATTGAACTTCCGATTTGCCCCATAGTGAAGAAAGAGACTAACCAAGCACTAATCAACACCAAAACATCAATACAACGGAGCAGGGGAGAAAAAAGAAGAAGAGGGGGAAGAGAAAGAGGAGAGGAACAAGAGGGAGAGGAAGGAGAGGGAGAGGAAGGAGAGGGGGATGGGGAAAAAGATGAAGGAGAAGAAGAGGAAGAAGAAGACGAGGAAGGAGAAGAAGAAGGAGAGGAAGAAAAAGAAGAAGAAGAAAACGAAGAAGAAGATGAAGAAGAAGAAAACGAAGAAGAAGAAGAAGAAGAAGAAGAAGACGGTGGTTCTCTCCACTCACCTGTTCTTGGTCTTGGAGTTGATATCCCAGCCTTTGATGAACCTTCTTCCCACTTAGCTATGGCTTCCTCCTTCTCTAAACCCTTCTCCTTCCTCCTCTCTCCTCCCCCCGAGTTGCCACAAGCTCCTATCACTATGGCTATGGAGTCCTCCCCTCTATGAGGGCTAATCGGACCCCTTCTAGCCTTGCCTTCTTCCTCACTAGCCTGGGAGCTATGACGGATCACCTTCCCCCACTACCACTAGCCTGTAGAGCCCTACACACTAGCTCACAGTCTCCTTACACACTAGCTCACAGTCTCCTTTAGGCTCCCAAACTGGCAGGGGTTCCCCTCACTTCACTCCAAGTGAGTGCAGTGCTCTCATGGGCACAATTGGGCAGCATGGGCACTCCTCATGCAAATGGGAGTGTGGCGGACTGAATTCCCAGCTTATGTAGGCTGGGAACAGCAGTCCGGCCAGCCCATGGGCCTTCCCAAGTGCCCCATAGTGAACCGAGGTACCCCCATGGCCAATTTTCACCATTAGGTCTCTCCGAGGGCTCCTGGGCCTTATTTTGGCCAGGTTCATGCAGTCCGAGTGGTTAGTACCAACTCGGCCTGCCCCTTGGGCATTTTTCCAGCCTCACACCACTTGGAAAATGCTTGCCCCTTGAGTCCAAGGCCCAAGGGGTAGCCTACTTTAGAGTTCTCGATTTTTTTCAAGTTTCGGCCTCTATTGGGTAGGCCGGAGCATTTTTCCATGTGGCGGCACACTTTCAGCCTTGGATCAGGCTGAGATCTAAGGCCACCATTATTCCGATCTACCCCATGGTGGTCCTTGCTTCAAATTTGAGCCCCTATGCTCAATTTTTCAATTTTTGATGCATCTGGCTCTCTTTTTGGGCCAAGTGCGCAGTTCTATTTTTTTCTCTCCTTTGTTTTCTTTCCATTTTGGGCTGCCACCTCATTCCGGAGCTAGCCGTTTTGAGCTGGCCCACAAAAAACGGTTGTTTCCTCTTCACCATGAGATCTGATCTCAGATCCATGATTGAAAAGAAAACCGGCCTTTTTCTTTTTGCATTTTTTCTCATTTTGCCCTTTTTAATTCAGATATTGTTGAGATATGGCTTCAAGGGTCATATCCCTACAATCCGGAATGCCCTCCTTGGATCTAGGAGGGGTGAGGTCACCATTCGGACTTGCCAATCCCTACCGCAGCAGTCCCAATAGGCCGACATATTTTCCTCCACCCATTTCTCCTGTTTTGTCTCATTCTCCCTCTATTTTCTCTCCTTTTTCTTTTCTTTTTCTTTAATTATTGTTGCGACAAGTGTCAAACTGTCGTGCCCTCTCTTTCTAGGCCTTAAAACCCTATTCATGGTCAGGTTCATGACCGGCTGTTGACTGTTGTATTTCGGATTACAATGATGTTACCCCCAAATTCCTAGGGGGCCTCATTTTGCCTCCTTTTGTCCGATTTTGAGCCCCCTTGGCTATGATTTTCCACGACCAACCTTTTTTTTGCATGGAGCCCCTTTGATTCTTATTTTCCCGTGCCTAGCTAGTTCGGTTTATCTCAGACTGCTGGGCAGCCCTCCATCATTCATTTTTCTTTGTTTTTCGCTCCCGTTTCACCCGATTGAGCCCCACTTGCACTAGTGGTGCTAATATTTTTCACCGTCGAGATCTTCGATCTCGGCGGTGCCATTTGCCTTGCGCGTCCACTCCCTACATTGGCTAATGGTTTTCCCTTTGAACACCTCAAGTTCCTGCCGCTTCCTCATGTTAGTCTCATTTTTCCGTCCCAATGGCGGCGCCGTCAACAACGTCCAATTTTTCGACAATTTTTATTTGAGTCCATTTGGTCCCTGGCGTCATCCCGGTTGATGCCCAATTTTTATTTGGGACTCCGCATACCCCC